GCGCCCGTCAGGAAGCTCACAGTACGCGCATGCTGGACTCCACCACCTCATCTCGTCGAGTCGGCACGCGCACTCACGACTCGTGTGAGCGGATCCTAACGCGCAGGACTTGTGTGCAGGCTTGCTATGCTGTGCTCCATCCCACGCAGCCAGCCGGGACATTTGATCAATGAAGCCATGTTCCTGCTCCCGTGCCCCGCTTTCCTCCAAAAGCAAGCTTCTTGCGCCGTTTCTCACGCGTCCCTCCCCCGCACACGACGAATCCGAACGTGATGGACTGAGCTGGCACACGCGTGTCATGTCTATTGCGATGCTCTCGAAAAGACGCAATTCAGGATTCCCTCGTGCTAGAGCTAGAGGCAGTGCGCGTCATGCGGGCATTCGAAGCCTTCTGGCCCGCGCCCGCATACCCCTTCGCATCCTCCGCAGGCCGGTCAAGCCGAACTGCCGGTATCCTTGCTCTTCCCTCATTCTCATCCTCCTCTTCTTGAACCTCATCCTCCTCTTCGCTCCAAGCAGGCAGTTCATCCACCCCTCCATTCGCATCGCCAGCAGCACGTGCATGGGTCGATTGAGAGCGTGGCAGCAGATCGTGAGCTTCTGCGGGCACTTGTTGATAGCCCCTAGAGCGCATCCTCAAATGGCCCGTACCTGGCGTGCCTGATTTGGATTGCCAGAGCGAGTGGTAGGTGCCGTGGCGCAGATGAAGGGCGTACGAATAGAGGATGAGGGCAAAGTACACCTGCGGGGCAAGGGGAAGGAAAAACGGTGTGACTTTTCTGTATTGAGCGGCCCGTCTCACACGTGACTGCGGATGCATCTTGCGCCTCACCTTGAGCACCCACCCAGCTGCGAGCACAGCAGCTGAAAAGCTCCTCTCCTCCTTCCACACTTGCTGAGCAGCATCCACCCTCTCCTGTCCAGCCAGGGGCACGTGATGTTTGATGCTTCCAGGAATCTCGTAGCTATTCTCAATCTTTTCGATGAGATCCATCAGACCTGCTTGATGAGGCGCCAATTGAGGTTTGGATCCATCATGAGGTTGCAGAGTGTACCAATGCATGGCAAAGTGCAATGTCCAAAAGGAAGAGACGAGATGATCGGCGAGGAAGAGGTGAGCGAATCTCAAGGTTTTGCACGCATTTTCATCCGAAATGCCCCTCAGTGCCCACAACAGCAATCCGATCGTGCCGATGCTGTAAATGTAGAGCGTGATTTGCGCAAAGGTCCCTCCGCTAAAGACGGCAATGATGCCGAATATGCCGGCAATCTTGTTGAACAGTGCGAAAAAGGTGATTACTGTGCATCCCACTTTGAGATCGAGCAGCAGCATGAACGAAGTGATCCACGCTCGTACTTGCTGCGATGGTGGTCGAAACGTCAATCGCGACATGCTGAAGGGCGAGGAGGAATGAAGGAGAAGCGCTTGCGCCGCAGGAGCAGGAGGAGCAGGATGGCGCGCGGGGGAGCGTGCCCAGCCGGCAAACGCTGGACTGCCCTCAGAATGAGTGTGAATGTGCGAAGAAAGCGGAGCAAGACAACTTGCATGTGGCTTATTCGTCCCACTGAAGCAGAATGCCCGAGCAGAGCAGAGCAGAGCAGAATAGACACCAGATCAACCAAGACTGTTGCCCCCTTTCCCCCCCCCAAATCGCCAAGCAGTTGTGCTCGTGCCGTGCCGTGCCGTGCCGTGCCGTGCCTGTGAGTCGATTCGAAAGGGAACGACTCGGGGCTAGATGGAGAGAAGAGAGGGACGGAGCGCGAGTCAGAGTCTTGAGTCGCAGTGAGGATGAGTGAGGTACGGGCACGGGTACGGGTACGGTACTTGCTGCGATGCGCTCGCTCCATCTCAATCAAGTCGAGAGTCACGAATTGAATCTTTTCGCAATCAGCACGCTCACTCAACTCACACTCCCCCGCGGTTCACTCTGACTGACAACGTCTCACGTGATGCTGCACAACTCATCATTTCCCGACCCATGCATCGCGCAGCCATGCAGCAAGCATCCGTTCAAATTCAAAATTCGTGATTGACAATCAAATCGTGAATTTGGAGTCACAGTCTTGAGTCCCGAATCAAAAGTCGGAACTTTGCGTCTTTCAAACCTCGCCCAAAAATGAGGCGTGTGCGCAAGAGTCCAGCCTGTTGTGCGAGGTGCATGATGGCGAGGGGATGGATGCGCGCCTGCGCGCCTGCGCGCCTGCGCGGGACCCATCAAATCAAAGCGCCCACAATACGCGCGCGCGCGCGCAACACATTCGTAATGCCCATCTTCAACCCTCAAACCACGCACGCGGTTTGCGCCTCTGCCATGGCCCCCGACGAGCCGCTTGCCACTCGTGACTCGTGACTCGATCTCGTGAAGCCTGCATGGTCCCTCACTAGCAAGGCCTCACCAGACACGCCAAGCCTGACTGGGCATGACGTCACACGTCCCGCTCGGACCTGCACTCAGCAGCAAGATCATCTCCGCTCAATCTCAATCGTTCCACAAGTCCATCTCCGATCACGCTGCCGCACGCATCCATCATGCCGAGCCTGGACATTGTACAAAGTAATGAAAGTCATTGCTTTTGTGGTTGTTGTCTTTCGCAGTCCCCTTTCGACGCGCGACGCGCGATGAGCGATGGAGCAGGACAGGAGCTGGAAGCATGGGCTGATGATGACAAGAGAATCAAGGCATGTTTTGCGTGAGGTGTTGGTCGAGTGCGTAGAAGTGTCGAAGCGATTTTGGGCCAGTGTAAAGCCAGACGGTGTATGAACGTGAACAGCGTGTCGTTTACTTCTTCTTGGCCTCGGCACCCTAAAGGATGAGTCGACCGTGTGAGCACACCGTAACAATCGCTTCAAGCGACGCGCCTCCCAACTCACCTTCTTCTTTTGAGTACCACGCAGCTTCTTTTGACGGTTCTTGCGCTCCTTTCGCAACTTGCGAGAGGGCTTCTCAACCTTGGTGGCAAGGCCAGCCTGTTTGCGTTAGAGCGTGATGAATAGTCAGCTCCAATCCCGTGTGTGCGCGGGTGCCATCTTCTTTAGACACTTCCACGACGGCTTTCACCAGCACGCTTCCACTACTTGCGCCTCCCAACCCAGCCGTACGAACACTACTCACCTTGACAAGACGGTGACGAGGTTCAAAGTTCATGCTCTCGCGAGAGTCGTAGATGAGGGCGAAACCGGTAGATCTTCCACCACCAAAGTGGGTCCTCAAACCAAAAATGACGCATTGCTCCTTGTTCGCCTTGTACATCGTGGCCAGCTTCTCGCTCAGCTCAGCCTTGCTAACGTTGGCGCGTGCAGGGTGAATCACGTCCAAAACCATCTGTCTGCGTTGCAACAGACGATTGGTGATGAATTTGCGCGTGCGCAGAGTAACGGGTGAAGTTGCGTCGACCTGGGATGGGACAGAAGGCGCGAATGTTAGCGTACTGCGTGGACCAGCCCTCGGAGGAGGATGCGAGCACGTCACTGCGACCCAAGTCTCGACCGGGTATGAAGCGGCTGTACATCTCGCGTCCGGTGGCAGGCAGCACGCCTGACTATGTCTCGGCGATGTGCACGGTGGCCAGTAGAAGCAAGATTTCGCAGCCAAGACATGGGCTGTGCACGGAGCAGACGCCGCCTTTGCAGCATTGAGTCGCCTGTTCGTCCTGTCCAGCCCGGTTGACGAGGCTGCAAATCGCGTTCTCATTGGCCACGTTATCTCTGCAACATCTCAATGACAACTTCCAACATCCTGCGCCGTTGCGGGAAAAGACGTGCTGAACGGATTGCCCCTCTCTGGCCGCCTCCTCCGCTGTTTCTTCGCCTTTAGCCTTCCGCCTCAACCACTCGAGCTGCGACACGGCCCGTGGTTGGATTTCGAGAGCCACATCAATGACAGCCGTCCGTATCGCTGGGTCTCTCGGATGCATTCCCCAATTTGCTTCGTGGTCCTTTGCAAGTCACCTTCCCTGCCAATCCAGCCTGGCTCAGCATTACGTCGCGGAAATACTAACCATGATGGGGCACTGTCTCCTTTATGATGCAAAGAAGAGTGGAATCGGTATTGTCGAGAGCGTCGGTCTTGAGGGTGATCGAGGAGACGCTGCAGTCAGCAGTGGCCGCGATGAGCAGGTCAAAGTGGGCACAGGATGAGCGCTTGCGCTTGGGATCCTTCTCACCAATTTTGTGAGATCACCACGTGGTACATCACCAGCCCGCGCGCGCGCTGCAGCTGCGCGCTGCGAAGAGGTGCAGTCGTTTGCCACGTGGTTTACATGGGAGTGCATCGTACATACACGCTCGGCCGAGCTGCCTGCAGCGTAACAAGAAGACTTGCGCGCGCCCGAGCGCGGCTGCCGGGCTGAGGGGCCGTCTGCGGCCATGCACTCACGACTCACGACTCACAATCACGAACGCCGCTTGAATAGAGTCGCGTCCCATCTTCTGTACCCCAATCATCCATCCTCAAGATCCTTGCTGGACTTTTGCGCCGTTAGTATCTCTCGATTGCTTCATCCTTTCTCTGCATATCATGCGTAGCGTGGAAGGGCCGTCGTCGCAAGCGCTGCGAAAGGGATCGTGGGCTCGAAGGGCGGAATGAACAGTCTTGGTCATGGAACAGCGAGTAGCATCGTCGAGTGCCGTATAGCATGTATAACACGTGTTGCGACATTCGATGGGGATGCTCCGCTGGCGTGGAACAGGGAAATTCAGTAGCTGGGCAGACTGCAGCGTGCTCTTTGGCAGTAGGAGGCGCGATCACGATGGAGCTCCGGGATGGCTTCTGCTGCGAGCTCGCCAGATTCGCAAGCATCAGCATGCGCTGCCTTCTGTAGCGAGGTGCAGAAAAGCTCAACGTGGCTTCCGCAGCTTTCAGGGTCCTCGATCGCTCGGCTTTCGCTGACCTCTTTGATATCCTCCTCGTGTAGAAAATGTCGCTGGTTCAAACTTTCGGAAAGAAGAAGAACTCGACCGCCGTCGCCTCGATCAAGGCTGGCAAGGGATTGATTCGCATCAACTCCCAACCTATCCACTTGATCGAGCCAGAGACTTTGCGCCTCAAGGCTTACGAGCCCATCCTCATTGTTGGAGAGGACAAGTTCGCGTGAGTGTCTCCCGAGGTCACATGGTGGGACAAACCGTTGCGGGAGGTGGAATCGGTCAAGATATTCGATTGAAGATGTTCGATTGCTTCATTCGCCTAGTCTGGCTTCGTACAGCTGACACTTCGTCGCGTATTACGCTAACGCTGTGCACACCTACCCTTCGCTTCTAGCAACGTCGACCTCCGCATCAAGGTCTCCGGTGGTGGTCACGTCTCTCAGGTTTACGCCATCCGCCAGGCTATTGCCAAGGCTCTCGTTGCCTACTATGCCAAGCACGTGCGTATAGATGCAACAGAGACTACATGAGATTCATGGTTGAGCTGGGCGGGGCGAGGGTTGCGGAATGCCAGCTGAGGGAAAGGGTTTGAGTAGAAGGCGTTATTTGGGGTCCACAGGCAATGGATGTCGAAGCACTGAACATCGGCCCCGTGGAGCCATACGATTCCTCACGAGAAAATCAGAAGCTGACTTCACACTGTCCTCGCAATCCACAGCAAGATGCTGCTTCCTCTCTCGAGCTGCGTCAGCAATTTGTAGCCTACGACCGCACTCTGCTTGTCGCCGACCCTCGTCGCATGGAGCCCAAGAAGTACGGTGGTCGCGGTGCCCGTGCACGCAGGCAAAAGTCTTACAGATGAACGACTTTTTGTAACTGCTTGCTGTGAAGCGTCATGGGTAGAGGTTGCGGGTCTCGCATCGACACGTACGTGCCAAGGGGCATTTTCAGCTGCATCTCTGCGTTGGAAACTCTCGCCTCGCAAACAACCGAAAAGAATACTGGGAGCAGAAGTCTCTCTCTCATCCACCAGCTTGAAAGCTTGTACTACATCCACCCCCAAAGAGTTCCTTTACGCAAACACTTTCATCCCCATATGCTCAACATGGCAATCGAGATTACACCTTGAAACAAACGCCCTTGCTTTCGCACTCTTGTCCTCGTCCGCTTCGAGCCTGCTCGTTGGTGCTGCGAAAGCTGCGACGATGTCGCTGGGCGCAGTGGCGCTTTCGTCCAGCTGCGAGTGGTTTGCTTGGGACGTTTGTTCGTATCGCGGCGGATTGATGGAGACCTTTTTTTGCCGACGTCGTTGATGGTGGATGTGTGATATGATAGCGGCCAATGAGACGTGCTTGCTTTTGACGTGATGAATGCGGGCCGAAGCAGATCACGTACGAACATTCACGATTGTGATTAAGCGCGCAATGCCGTCCGTCCAACGTGATGGACCCCCTCTTTGCCCCGCAGGTCGTGTCGCATGCCACTCTGACTGCACATTTTTTGCTCAAAAGCACAAAACAACACAACATTCGTCCTTCTCGCATCTGGATTTTGCAGCCCCCACAAAAGCTCTTTCGAGCCGAGCCGAGCCGAGCCGCATTCAGTCACACGTTTTCTTCGGTATTGAGATTGCTGAGATCTCCTCATTACCGACGGTTCAAGGACCGCCCGGGTGACTCGCAACACGCAAGCGCTACCCCGATCACTCGTCTCTCGACTTGCCTACTCGATCTGGCACACAAGACGCGAGTCACGCTTTAAAAAAGCCGCTCGGTCAGAGCGAGCACCTGGATACAGATTGTGAATGACGCAAAGGCGTCAACCTGACCAGGCCCGCCCCCTGCCACGCTCAAAGGGATCACATGCATCAAGAAGACCGATCAAATTCTTGCACCGTCTCTCTGCTCCAGGATGGGCAGGTGACAGAGGAGCACTTTGTTCGTGGAGCTGCTTGTGCGTCCACCCAGCGCATCGACTGCTCGTCAGCCCTGGAGAGCCCAGCGCTCAAACCCAATCCTCGTCGTCTTCGCTAATGTCACCGTCGGCGATCTCGTTGGCCAATTCCCTCTCTCTTTCGCGCGCTGCGACAGCGCTGTCGAGTTCTGCCTTGTGATTGTTGAGCGGGTAACGCATGGCCTGAGTCAAGTTGCAGCCATTGGTTCAGTATCAGCAGAGAGCTCGTGAACATGCGAGCACTGTGACTGTGCTCAATCAACTCACCTTTACGCTCTCGTTGTGCAATTGCAAGCAAAAGTCGATCCTCTGTCTAAATTGCGTCTGAGGTTCGTTGGTCTTGTAAATCTCTCCCATGTCTGCCGACTTCATTTCTCCCCTCTCGTGGTCCACCCTAGCTTCGATGACCCCATCCCTGACAGCCTTGGCCACAATGTACTCCGCATCTTCTTCGCTCTCCAAATGAAGCTTGCGCGTGATGTCTGCCAGCGAGATCCGACTGTATGCTAGGGAGATGGTGCGGATACCCGTCTTGATGACATTGTGGCGCAGACGCACGATCAGAGAACGCGTGCGGTCGGCTTGAAAGAGCGCTTCGTGCGTGGACAGCGTCTTTTGAAAGAGGGACAAATCGCCCACTCGGACCGCTGCAGAGAGCCAAAACGCGTCAGCTTGCTTCGCACTGGCACGCATCAAAAGCCCTGCTCACCTTGGACAATCTCCATATAAGGCGCAAGGGCCTTCTTGAGCACTTCGGCGCGGAAAATGCTTCGTTCAGGAATGTCGCCCATGAGCAGCTCCACGACGACCAGGAATTTGTGAGCCGTCTGCAAGAACCCAGCGGCAGGCACAGAAGGTTTGCCAAATTTGGCAGCAAGCGGACCGTCCGCCTTTTCCTTGTCCGCCGCACCCTTGTTGGCTCCTGCCGGTTGCACAGCCGCTGGAGCTCTCCTGATGGCTTGTTGAAGGTGCGTATGAGCTTCCGAGTAGTTCAGTTGAACAGCTCGAATTCTTCCTACGTAGTACTCGTACCTCGCCACTTGGCCATTGCCAGCCTTGCTTCGAGGAAAAGGAGCTCTGGCGACGAGCTTGTCTGCTTGGTCGTACAGGTTCGCCTTTCCTTCAATGTAGCTCCTGAGCAGGAGGTTGATGAGGGTCGCTTGCGTCTCGGGATCGTGTCTGAGGGAGGAGGTCCTGTACAGACTCAAGAGGTAAGGACGCTCGCCGGCGAGACCCTCGGCTGATTTGTCCTTGCTGAGCAATTCTATGCTCCTAGAGAGGTAAAAGATAAGCCTAGCACTTAGCAAATCCTGCGATCTCTTATTTTGAGCAACGACAGCATCAATCGAAGACCTGGCCAGCGTCTGCCCTTCTTCTACCTTTCCTCCATCCAGCAGGTAGACCACCAACAGAAGACGCAGATACGCTTGAACTTCAGCAGCTGCTTCTGGTCTCGCTTTAAAAGGTTGATTGAACTTTTCGATAAATGCAGCCCTTTCTTTCTCCTTTTGAGCCTCCTTTTCCTTTTCTTTCTCCTTTTCCGAATCCTTGTCGTCGGACTTGCCGTCTTTCGATTCCTTTTTTGTTCCCTCTGTGGCTGGCGCAGATTCGTCTACGTCCATGGCGTCCGAGGCAGCGTTTGCGCTCGTCGCGGTGGGCAGCTTGACAGGCTGAGGAACATAAGACTTGGGCAAGAACTTGAGCATCGCAGCACGAGATGATTCTACGACACAAGCATACACATGGAGAGCGTCAGCATGACGTGCAGGGCCAAAGCGATCGCGCTGCGCATTCCACACTCACCATCCGCGTCTCCCTCTTCGATTATGGTGGCGAGCACATCCGGATGAGCAGCAGCTTTGCGTCGAGTAGAAGTCAAGCTTCGAAGAGCTCTGGCGGTAAAGCGAGGCTCCAAGTGCGTCACACCTCTAGTGATGAGCGTCAAGTTGTGTCGCAAGAGGTGAAGAAATTGCTCCTCCGAGGAGAGGGTGGGGATCAAGGAAGCTGTCGATCTTGATTCTGTAGCGTTGCCCGAAGGCTTTGAATCGGAAGTGGCTTGCGAAGCCATGATGAGGACGCTTTGACAACGAGAGATGAGAGAGGAAAGTACGCTGTTCTGCTTGCATGCAGCGTTTGGTTCGCGTCGGATGATGGTGGTGCAGTGGGGTCTGACGTAGGATGGGGGATGGCGAGGTGCTGACTGACGCGCTTGCCTGCAGTCACAGTCACAGTGGCTCGAGCGTCGACGACGCAACGCGCAAGCTGCACCTTGTTTGCTTGTGGACTGGTGAGGGTCACGTGTCCCCAACGCGGCCGCGCTGCTCGCGCTCGCGCTCGCGCTCGCACACGTATGGAAGCGAAGAAGGCAGATGTCGCGGATATGCGTTCACGCAGCCCGCCGTCCTTCTTTCGTTGATGCCAAGTAAGTCACGAGTGTGAATCGTGAATGTGAATGCTGCTTTGCTCACCTCCCTACGCTTGACTTGTGACTTGCAGCGCACAACACACAATTACCAGCGATCACCTTCAACTTCACACAAGGCTTGTCGCGCTGGCCCAAGCGCACACCCCCGAATCTCCATCCTGCTCCCCTGACGCGCCCGCCCGCCCGTCCTTCACTTTTCCATCTCGAAAGCTCTGCGACTGGCAAAGATGAAGGTGACGGGTAACGCGAGCGGTTCAGGTTCATCACGCGAGGCGCGCATAGCCTCTCACTCTCACATCAAAGGTTTGGGTCTGACAGAGGATGGCACCGCCTTACCGCTCTCCCAAGGTTTCGTCGGTCAAAAATCAGCTCGAGAAGCTTGCGCATTGATTCTCGATCTGATCAGATCCAAAAAGTTTGCCGGAAGAGCTCTGCTATTGACGGGAGCGCCCGGCACTGGCAAAACGGCACTGGCGCTGGGCATCGCACACGAACTTGGACAAAAGGTACCTTTTTGCCCAATGGTCGGCAGCGAGGTGTTCAGCAGCGAAGTCAAAAAGACCGAAGTGCTGATGGAGAACTTTAGGAGGGCCATCGGTGAGTTGGAGCTAAAGTGTCACTCGCACGAGCAGAGGCTGGTATGCTGCAGGTCACGCGCTCGTCCTGTGGATGCTGAATGCAGACTCTACCATGTGCTTGCTCCAGGTCTGCGCGTGCGGGAGACAAAGGAAGTCTACGAAGGCGAAATCACGGAATTAACACCGACCGAGGCGGACAATCCCTTGTCGGGCTACGGAAAGACGATTTCGCACGTCGTCATCGGGCTCAAGACTGTCAAGGGTACCAAGCAACTTCGTCTGGATCCCAGCATATACGAGAGCATCATGAAAGAGAGGGTGTCGGTGGGCGATGTAATCTACATTGAGGCCAACACCGGAGCTGTCAAGGTGAGATTGTGGGACTGTCGAGCGTACGTCGAGCTTTGGTTTTAACACGTGTCGTGCCAATGTCTCAGAGAGTCGGTCGATCAGACGCTTATGCGACAGAATACGATCTGGAAGCGGAGGAGTACGTCGCTTTGCCAAAGGGGGAGGTGCACAAGCGTAAAGAAGTGGTGCAAGACGTAACGCTGCACGATCTTGACATCGCGAATGCCAAGCCTCAAGGTGGTCAGGATATCATGAGCGTCGTGGGACAATTGGTCAAGGGAAGAAGAACGGAGATCACGGACAAGCTCAGGGGAGAGATTAACAAAGTGGTGGATGGGTACATTGAGCGAGGAATTGCAGAGTTGGTACCGGGTGTGCTCTTCATCGACGAGGTGAGCATGCGCCAAGCGTCGAATCAGTGCGCATTGTGCTTTCGCGAGCTCGCTAAACTCCTCTCTCTGTATGTGTGTGTGTGCCTGCAGGTGCACATGCTGGATCTCGAGTGCTTCACCTACCTCAACCGAGCGTTGGAGAGCTCCATCTCGCCGCACGTCATTTTGGCTACTAATCGAGGCAAATGCGTCGTGCGAGGAACGGAGTACGATGCGGTTTCGGGGGGAGAAGGAATCGTCTCTCCTCATGGTATCCCACTTGACCTCTTGGATAGGTGTATGATCGTCAGGACTTTGCCATACACCAAGGAAGAGATCAAAGAGGTGCTCAAACTGAGGGCTAGGATCGAGAATCTGAATCTCAACGAAGACGCCTTAGATTTGCTCACCGAAGAAGGTGTCAAGAGCTCCTTGCGGTGAGTTGTTGTGCCGAGCTACCTGCCAATCAACTCCTCCTCCTCCTCACACACCCGTACAAATGCACACGTGTCCCACTATGCCCTCGCAACCACAGATTCGCCCTGCAACTCCTCTCCCCAGCTTCCATCTTGGCAAAGGTCTCGACGAGGACAGAGATTGGGGTGGGAGATGTTCAGGAAGCCAACACGTTGTTCATCGATGCGAGGAGGAGCGCGAGGTCATTGACGAGCGGACAAGGAGGCAAATTCCTCTGAAGACTTGCCAATGTTCCCCTGGCTTCAAAAGTCTACCACTTTTGGGCGCCCGCATTGGGAGCCTAGGGCGGGGCAAATGAAACATGTGATTTTGACCGCGACAGCCTTTTTTTTTTGGGGGGGTGGGGAAGGAGGGCCAGCGAGCAAATCTTGCGCTTCTCGATACGAATGCGGGGTGATGAGAGGCTTCCTCCTGGCGTTTGCTTCGGAAGACTACCAGGCGAATGATCGGTACAGAAGTAAAAGCGAGAGCTTGCTTGCTTGCTTGCTTGCTGCTGCTGCTGCTGCTGCTGCCAGCTAGCCAGCTCACAGCACAGGACCGCAAAGCTTCGACAGCGTAATTCAACCTTTGTGGATTCTCAACGATTCAGAGGGATGTTCTCATGTGTCTGATATCTTGCCCGCTATTCAGGTCCACGGAGTCGTGATGATCTTGCGATCTTCTAGCATGGCTTGACTAGCGAGCTTCGTGCAACGTGAGCTGTTCGAAAGGAAAACACCTATGATTTGAATAGCCCAGAACGAATGCAATCCCCTCCCCTCCTCCTGCCCCAAATGCAAACGTCGCGTCCGAAAGATCAATTTGCAATGCCAACATCCTTTCATACAGTTGCGTTCCCGTCGAGTTTGAGGCGCGCGTCCCCCCC